GTTCTAGAGTAAGAAAGGAGGTAGTACATTAACAGTAGAATCTATCCAGCCAAACTATACCTTAAAAACATACATAGTGGCAGGAGGAAGGACAAACACTGTCAGGTTATGGTTGGATTGTATTGACCAGTTTGTAGTGAAGGCTTAACAAGGACAAAGGTAAGGCAGAGATAAGTGCTCTGGGAAGCTTGCATTCTTTTCAGTTGTCTTGAACATAAAGCAGTTGAAACAGAGGAAGCATCTTTATGGGATTCTGCTTGTCCTAAACAATACTAAGAGGTTTAAAATGTTAAAATACTCTTCAAAAACAATGCTGTAATAGGTTCCCGGATGTTTTAAATCACTCTGAAATTTCTAATTACCAATTTACAGTTGTTAAGTCTTTTTATATCAATTCACTTATTCCTTAAGGAGATGACTAAGATCCATTTCTGAGACTTGTTGCATGAACTCTGGTCAATTGCGACATCTCTGGTACAACATACGGTGATCATGAAATGTGCTAAGGTGATCCTATGTACTCTTAGAAATGAGAAGCTCAGCTCTGCCACAAGAGTAAAGCTGATGTAATCAACTCAAAGTAAGCAGGAAGCATTATTGTGACAGACTTTTTATAAAGTACTAGAGTTCCCAGTGCTTGCAAGATTAGGTTGCTTGGGCTGTGGGTTCTTAATTTTAAACAAAGTGAAAGTGTTGATTGCCTGAAAATTTGCCATGCTATAGACTTTTTGATGAGGATTTATTTCAACTTGAGCTTCTTATTGGTCTATATTTAATTAATGCATTCCTAGTTTACTTAATTCAGAGGTTTAATCAGATTAATAGTCCCCTTCAGATACTGGTGCAGATTTTACAGGAGTTAGTTATTTAAAGTGACTTTATAATTAATTGTAAGACTATAACATCTGCATGCTAGGTAGCTGTATTTTAATCAGTCTGAAGTTTGCAGTGTGGAGTTTGTTTAAATGCAGGACTTGCAGTTGAAATTATCATCCTGTCAGCTCTGTCCCAGCTGCTTGCTGCTCCTGTAGGCTCTAATTAGTCTTAGGCTAATTTAAAGAGCACATTTATATTCCCACTTCTTGTGTTAGTGCCACATTTGTTCACCCTCATGGCAGCAGGCCTCCAGCTGGTCCTAAAGGTGCTTTGAGCAATCTAACATGCTCTTTCTCTTAAATACCAGTTGCTTTGTGCAGCATGAGCTACTTTTTGAAGTCCTTTAAAGCCACTGTGCTTTATTTTGAGCTGGGTGAGCAAAACATGTTATATTGAACAGTACTGATCCTTCACTGCTAACCAAACGGGCAATTACAATACTGATTCCTGAGCCAGGAATAGCCTTTTCATACTTAGAATGAAAGTGCTGTCAATACCATTAGATGACCTGCTGATGATCATTCTCTTTAATCATCTCAGGAATATAAATTCTAAACAGATTTATGTGATATAGCAGAAATTGTAGGTTTTGTGTACAGTGCTACCAGGAAAGCAATGATGCTTTCACATGAAGCTCTGCAAAGGAAGACAACAGTGAGAGCAGAAGCCCACAGTTCTCTTTTCCAAAGGGAAAACTTTTTGAGTCATTCCTGTGAGGCCAAGGCAGGGAGAGGGGTGCAAGGAAAATACAGCTTGTATTGGGATCCTGTCTGCTTGAAGGGAAAAGGACAGGAGAGTCATTATGCAATACTTAGCAGCAAGCAACCTCCAGCCAGGCTCGGAAAGGCTCAGTGTAGTGCTGTCTGTAGGATTTAGGATGTAACTGCTGCAGGGAATGGTGATCTCGTACACCAAAGAGAGCTCTTCTTGGGGAGCTTGGCCTCTGGCAAAAATGGTGAGATGTACTTGACTGGGTCTCCTTCAGAACTTAGTCATATATTGTCCAGTATTTGGATTGGGGAATGCCTAGAGTCCAGGTAGCTGTTCTCATTAAGTGCTGACATTTCTGAAAAAATGGGAGGATTCCCAGTCAGAGTTGAAGCCTGAGTGTTGCTTTTGACATTTAGATTGAAAACAGAGAACAAGTCATAAAATAAAGGGTTATTTTAAGAGTCAGTGTGCTGCGTTTCCTAGGTAATCCCCCAAAGTCTAAACTTGGCAGAAGGGAGACATAATCTAGGCTTTCCATGTCCCTCAGCTTTCCAGACTGCTCTGTGGCAGGTGTGGCAACCTTCAGACTTCAATGCATTGCTGTTGCAGCACAAAGGCAGGGGAAGCCTAAGGCAGATCTGGAATATGTAAATTATGTCCAAGTCTTAGAAAATAAAATAAAATGGAAGTGGAAATTATGAAACCATGTTGAAATGCAAATGTTGAGCAATCGTGCAAATGATTGCTGGGATATATAGGTCAGCTTTAATGGAGGTGACAAGGACACTATCAGAGTCTGGCATAAGGAGGTAAGCATCTGTCTCAAACCCTCGACAATAACAATGACCTTTGGAGTCCTATTACTACCACTATTTCTTTACTATGGTGAAGTGGGTTTTAGCTCAGAGCTAAAAACACTTGAAATCCTATTTCTTGCTTGAGCAAGGGTTGGGGACTATTTTGCACTTGATTTTCTCTTCTGCAGGCCCTGAACTATATTCATCTTTGTAGAGGTAGAAGGGGGAATCTACACAAATACTGCAGAACAGAAAAGGAGGCAGATCAAGGAGGACTGAAGGGGAGCTGTAGGATTTCAAATCCATCAGAACAAAAGAAGCTGGAATAAATGCGGAACCCAGAGGTTTATCTCCTGTCCTGTTCTGCCACTAATGCAAAGTGTTGCTATGGAGCAACTACAGCTTCTGCAGCTCACAGTCTGAACAATGGAAGAGAAATGAGTGAAAGCTAGCTGGTGTACACAGAAGCCATCTCCCTGGAGGAGCAGGGCTGCTATGGGCTGTCTCACTGGATTGGAGAGCAGACCCCAAGTTCCCTTTGTGCAGAGCTACTACAGACACTGGCACCGCTGTGACCAAACCCTCTCCAGGCACTACTTGAGCCCACAGCAGGTCCCTGAACTGGGACCACTCCCAGGCAAGTCTTTGGTCTTGCTGTAAATGGGTGCAGTCTCTTGGTCCAGTGACAAATTTGGGTCCCTCAGGTTGTGTTCTTTTCTTCTTTGTTTTGTTTTTTTGGGGGGTTGTTGGTTTTTTGGGGGGGTTGGGGGGGTAGTTGGGGCAGAAAACCAGCTCCTGTAGCCAGTGGAGCACTAGCAGATACTACACCACTTCCCATACTTCTCTGTGACTTGTACCCTGGCACAGTGCAGCTGCTGTGAAATCACTGTGCTGTTATTTCCACTCAGACTTGTGTAACGTGTCTTGCCTGACCAGAGATAGTACAGAAAGCCCAGGTGACCACG